AATCTGCCTGGTCACAATAGCATTCTTTGTTTAATGATGTCATTGTAAAGGCATTCTTTATTACTGGTATCCTAGAATATCACTGATTAATGGTCACCATTCGCATTATTTTGAAGCACTGAAAAACACATAGTAATGTAGCCTTTACTTTGAAGCTGCTTTCACCTATGTTAACAATGGTTATCTTCTTCGTTATTTTTTTTATGGCTATGGACAACATCTAGGGAATGAGAGAACTGGTTAAATCCTCTTCCAACAGTCGGTCTAATCTCTGTAACCTCATGATGGAGCCCCACAGACTCTAATCACATCGGATGATGATTACGTCGTACTAGGATAGGGAAGGAGGCTCAAGAGGGAGTTCTTCTAACCAGATGTCAAAATCAGTGGAGGGGAACTGATGAGCAATTTAGCATATTTCACCGAGGCAAGCCAGAAATTCTCACTGACCTCTGTTTTGCCGGAGATGTAGTCCTTACATCCTTGAAGGTTACTGCCATTATGCTCTGGATTTCATTTCATATGCAATTACAGCAACGCACGATTTTATACATAGCTAGATTCCTATTTAATACTATTGAAATAATCGTAATTATAAAGATACTCTAGAAAAACACACCATGCAGAGATAGAATTGTGTTCCCATGGAGTCGGGGGAATAAACCATAGAAGACCACTGGGGCAAATAAAATTAAAATTGCCATTTTGGTGAGAACAATAAAGTCAAGTCAAATGCTCACGCTTTCTCATCACAACATCTGAGGATTCTAGTCCAGGTTAATGGAGGAGAGAAAAACGGAACTTACCAATTTATACCAGAAATGGGGCAGATGGAAGAAATGCATTTGAATAATTGCAGTCTGAGATGCACAGTGTTGATTTTATATTTCTGCTAAGATTTACATCTTAAACTTCAATACTTATATGAACTTAGGCAATTTTGAAGATCACTCATTTAAGTTTATTGTGTCAAAAGCAATGAACTTTTACAGCCTAAATAATGAATGGGTGTGTGGAATGAAAGCCATTGGAAAATTAATTAAAAACTAAGGCTTACCCTCATCTAATTCCAGTCTGGCATTTTATTTGGTGAAATTAGAGTAATCTAGAGTAGAACACTATGTTCATTTCCAAATGACACCATTTTAAAAAGAACCGAAATAGTAAATCACACTACAGTGTAATTAACATCTATCCAAATTTACTTAAACCAGGTTTTTTTTGCATAAAAACCCCATTAAGGGAAAGTTATCCGTCCTGCAGCTAACGCACCTGTTCGACCGTTCATTTTGTAATCCACAGCACGGCCCACAGGTCATTCCTGGATTTCCCTTCATTTTGTAATCCACAGCACGGCCCACAGGTCATTCCTGGATTTCCCTTCATTTTGTAATCCACAGCACGGCCCACAGGTCATTCCTGGATTTTTCTTCTTTGCCAGGGGAGGAATTGTTAGAAGTATTTTAATATATTCTATGGCAGTGTTTCTGAATCCGGTCCTCGGGGACCCAGTCAGGCCACATTTTTACTCCCTCCCAGCTCCCGGAGCAAAACTGTGGCCTGTCTGTGGATGGGTCCCTAGGGAGCAGATTGGGAAACACCGATCTATAGTGTCATTCAAGTATATTCTTACTTTGATTTTGTTATTATTATGTCAGAAGTATCACGACCCTGTCCAAGATAAATAGCTGGAGGAATCATGGGTGGATGGATGGATGGATGGATTTACAACATCAGTGACATCTGACATGATTGACCCAAAAATCTGGGGCACATTCCTGAAATGGCAGATGGTCTCTGAATTGATTTCACCGGAGCATTTAATTGCACCTCTGAACTACTGAAAGTGTTTCTGGTGGTAGAGAGAGAGGTCACATGCCCACTGGACTGTGACTCTAAATGCCTGAATATTGCCTAAGCCTGCCTTTTTGAATACCAAATGCAATCCTAACTACATTAATGTACCAGCTAATGACTCCATTTTTTTCAATCTTAGTGCAAAAATAAACTTTATTTTTCTTTGTTTCTTATTTATGTTATCTACCCAGTGGATTCCTTGTATGGTCAACTAATGGTTCAGCCCTGTGATGTCATGGGGTTTGTATATACTACTGTAATGGTTCAGCCCTGTGATGTCATGGGGTTTGTATATACTACTGTAATGGTTCAGCCCTGTGATGTCATGGGGTTTGTATATACTACTGACAGCTCACAGGTCACAATCAGCAGCAAATAGCTCAGTATATGTGCCCAGTATAGACAACATAAAAATGATCTTATTTTATATAAATCATTACATTAAGACCCTCTCCTTCAGCATTGAAATGCATGTATCTATACCTCTGTAGATATTTAAGTCTCAAGATACTTTATGCCTAAAACTGTAACCTGATTTTTTTACCAGATATATATAGTACCAAGTATTTATACTGAACAAATATATATAAATGGCATGTACACCAGCATAACAACAATAATTACCTTCAAGTGAGACATCGTATTAATATTCCAGTTTGCACTAATTGTTTCTCAATTGCCAGTGCGACATCCTGAAAATTTTCAGTCCACATCCATCAAGTGTGCTTATCCATGGGGTAAAGAACTGGATTTGCAAACAGATCTGTCAAGGGTCTGCTCAAGTTGTCCTTAGCCTGCTGTTAAGAATTATGCTTTAGCGCATTTTGCCTTAAGGCACAGAAATTATGGACAATTTGCATAAAAAAGTAGCAATTCAGCAATTAGTATTAAAATGGTGCACGTTGAATTTTTCTGTCTTTGAGGTTATTAATGCTCTAGCACATTTTAAAATGAATGGTAGTGTTTTCAGTAAACAGCGTATACAGAATTTGGCTGTAACCAAATGAAAACTTCCAGAATATAATGTGCATACATGTCTCTTATGGGTCTAACCTGATTTGTGAGAATATGATCCTGAGTAAGTTTTCACTCTGGAAGGAAGTTAATGTCATATACAGAGACTATGGAGGCAAAAATCAATCGAGGTGGGGGGGAGGGTTGCTAGATACTTGACCACTGGTCAGTTGTTTGAATGTCGTGCATTAAAAATGAACAAGGGCCCAGAAAATAATTTTCTCTAGATTGTGATTAGTTTTGGTGTCACAAATACGGTTCACTGCTAAAACACTTACAAATGAAGCTCTTAGTTTTACTGCACTTTTTGTGTAAATTGGGTTGAGAATTGCAGGCCTGTCTATAGTGACGCTTAATTCTGGGCACTAACAAGCTAGTCATTTCTCTGCAGACTCCTTTCAGATATGGATTACAGCTCTCAGCCAAGTTTCGACTGACACGTTTGGGTTGTTATCCCGTTTCCTCCCTAGATGTGGATTAAGGAATCCTGCTAAAAAGATAAATCCTGTCCTTAAAGAGCGGTGATTTACGGGATGGTACAGTGAGCCGATCGAGTGGCAAAACAAATGAAAAAATACACAAAGGCCATATATACTCACGGTTTCTCCATCCCTTATTGATGGAGAATCTGAACAAGACTGAAGCCGGACACATCTTGCTGTCTTGTGCAGATAATGTAATCTCTAGTTGAGGATTTGTAATTTTGTGTTTAGAGGACTTTGTAGAATTAGAGAGAATAACTGCTTGTTATTTTATTCCCTTGTGTCAGCCTTATGTATAAAAAGCAGGACAAGGCAGTAGATCCAAATGCTTCTTCATGCATGAAACAACGCAACAAAAATCTGATGACCTAGCAACTCCTGATTGAACCTCTGCACCAAACTCAGAATAAAATACCATTGAAACCCAAAAATTGACATTCTTTTTGTCGTCCCCCCCCCCATCACCATGTGGATACCTTCTGACTTTCATATTATGTTTGGAATTCTGGAAGTGAAGGTATTGTTTTATTTTTTGTAAGTTTTGTTACCAGTTTTAACTCATTTGTGCCACTTTTTCCATGCTGAGCTTTTTGAGCAGATAGTGCATCTTTAAGATCTGAGCTAATTTTGTTATTGAAATTTGAATATTGAATATTTTTGTGGAGCCAGCAGCAGACACTGTGTATGCATCAGACAGCGCCTGAGGATAAATTGCTTGCCAAATTCCTGGCACCATACAGTTGTTTTCCTGATATTAGACTTTCTTTGTGACATTTTCTGTAACGCAGTTCTTATATGCTTATTTAAGTATCTTGCAGTAATATCTCACATGGTAGTTATTTTTCATACTCACCGTGAAACACTAAATCTTCAATCTCTCAAGCATACTGCTAACCCATACTGACCCCACTAAATCTCTAACATGAGATATGTGTTACATGCCTACAGTGACCCACCACTGAAAGGTCTAAGCTTCAACTAAAATAAGAAAGCAACCAAAATGACATAAGCTACTGCTATCCAACATTCATGGGATACTAACTGAAGATTTGCTTCAGTGCTTCCCCAGCTCTTCTAGACGTGTGAAGCACATGGAGATTTCAAGCTAATTTGGTTTTGGAGGAATGTTTCCCTTCGGTACCATTTATGTCGTTTCACTAAAAAAGGTATGACTAATTGGGGAAGCGATATGGGTTGGGGATAGAAGACAGAGGTGCATTTGGATGTGATTGTTCTTTCCCTGTTAAAAAGGATGCCTTATTTAAAGCAGATGGTGCTTTTGTAAGTTTGTGGAAAAATACAGCAATGACGTTGCAAAAGACTAATGTTTTTACTGCCTTGAATGGATGGTGTTTACGAAATGGCAAGTTATGGCGGCAAGTTAATTATGTTATATTTTAGAGAAACGTGTGTCTCATCATGTATAAGAAAACTGGCAAATTACACATTTGAATATTTAGGTAAGAGGTACATTTTCTTCAGGGTTGTTTTGACTAGAGGTGCACTGATCCCACCTTTTCAGTGTCGATACGATCCCAATACCAGAACAGAGGGTACCGATATGAGTACCGATATGAGTACCGATCCGATACATCGCTCTTTTTTTTTTTTTTAAAGACTAGTAAATACAAATTAAGAAATGCATGTCAAAAAAACCTTTAATTAGGCTACTAGAAACATCTGCAGCAAATGTTGTGGAAAATAGCCATTTAACAGAGATTGCAAATAAAATCCAAATACATTACATACTTGGTTAAACACACACACACACACACACACACACACACAAACACACCCAAAGTAAATAAATAAACTGCACTCCCATTCTGTCATTTAAAAAATTGTGCAAGTTAAATATTTCAAATAAATAATCCAAGATATTATAAGTAGTGCTAATATAGTGCGATGGCATTTTCATAAAACATTTTGGAATAATGAACAATTCAAGTAAGAACATTGTAGCAGCAGCAGCAACAAAGTAGATATAAATGGCTAACAAGTAGACGATCAGAAATGACAGTAATGATCGCTTTCTCGCTCAAGTCTCAAGTTCACTTAAGCACCAAGGGTAAGTTTTTCTTTAGGAAGAACAGCATTTCTGCTTTGTCTGCAGTTAGTCGACGACTCCTTTCACCTACAACATTGGACACTGTGCTAAACAATCGTTCACTTTCAACACTGGTAGAAGGGGCACAGAGAAATTTGACAGCAGTTGCAGCGAGGGCAGGAAACCGATGCTGGTTGATTCTCCAATACTGGAAAGGGCTGTCAGACCGGGGAATAGTTTGCTCTGCCAAATACGTCTGTATCTGACTAGAAGTGCTTGTGATGCTTCTTCCTGCTGTGGGATCTTCATGCTCCTCCAAAATTTCTTCAAACAAACTGCTTAAGCTGCACTGGCTTGTACTTGTGCTTGGCCTGGCTGCTTCCAGGCAAAGAAGCTTAGCTGCAGGCTCACCTACTATGGTTGATGTCCTCTGCAGAATTTCCTCCATCTTCTCAACCTCTCGTGCCAGAGCATCCTTTGCAGACTTGGCCGTGTCTTTTCTTGTGAAGTATCTAAAAAATAGAGACAGCCAGAGGACAGCACAAGCTATTAAAATTATATTCGTATGAGCAAAGGCTTATTTAAATTCCACCTTGTTACACTCCCTGCCATCACACACAGTATTTAACTGGGATGGAGACAAATTAATATTTGTTTTTATGGCATCCATCTTAAGCCACTCCTCCTTGTCATTTGCACTAGCTGTCTTTGCCCGTATCTGACGGCTAGCATGGAGTTCCACAGACTTCAATATTTCCAAAATCCTCCAGCTTAACTTCCCAGGTATAGTTTCTGTAAAGTTTCAGGAAATTATCTGCCCCTTTGCAACTCCACTTCCCATGGAAAGTTTAACACCGTTTTTTTATAGTGCACAGACAAAAGGTACAACAAATGGACTGTGAGGAGAAATTTGACAAAAAGTGTACAGAGATAATAAGAAAAAAGAATCGCACACCCTACCTTAATTTTAATATGTATTTTTGTTGGATTTATGTGTTGACCATAATTATCCGACTACTACAAATTTACAATTTCTATATAAAATTTAAATGCACGCTTTAAGCTTTAATCCTACCTGTCTTTGTATCGTGGATCGAGTAAAGTGGCAATCGAGTAAAGCGGTTCATCTTGGACTTCGCCGAATCGTCTGTTGACAGCTTGTAGCAGCGTAGTTTTCATGCTTTTGATCCCGGTGTCAGAATCGTCCTGCCGAGACAGCAGACGCTCCAGAACACTGATAGCTGGAATAACGTCAGCTGTGGTGGAGGTGGATGAGCTTATGTTTCTGGTCAGCTCTGCAAACAGGGCAAGTATATTCATAGTTTTCTCCAGTAATGCCCACTGGTTGGCTGTAAGTTTTACCGGCAGATTGTGGTCAGCAGCATAAGCACAAAGGGCTCTCTTCTGCTCAAGGAGGCTCGCAATCATCTGGTGCGTACTGTTCCACCTCGTTTGCACATCTTGTTTTAAGCGTTTCTGAGTCATTTGCAGTTCAGTTTGAATATCTTCCAAGAGAGTACACGCAAGTGGCGAATGCTTAAAATGCCCCACAATTTTTCTCGCACTGGCAACAGCGTCACTTACACTTCGCTGCGATAGCAGCCCCTCGTGTATCACAAACTGCAGAGATTGCGCAAAGCAGCCCAAGCTAGCGATTCCCAAGTCATCCATTGCTTTTTTCATATTGCTTGCGTTGTCTCGCACAATTGTGTGCACTTTCTTTAGAGAGATATTCCACTTACCCAGCATTTCTCTGATGACAGTTGAAATTGAAGTGCTAGTTTGTGATCCACAAAGTCCTTTAACTTGTAGCACCACATTCTGAAAGTCGTAGCTTTGCGGGTTCACCCAGTGCACAGTTACACTTAAGAGAGACATGGGGCACACAGCCGAGCTCCAAATATCTGCAGTGAAGCTCATCGACTGCGCATCTTTTACTTGTTCCTCAATGAGCGTCATCACTCTAGAGTACTGTTCAGGCAATGCTGTCTCCGAAATGTATTTCTGAGATGGTAAACTGTACCTTGGTTCTAGATACTCCATCAGGCGACGAAATCCCACATTGTCTACGACAGACAGTGGCTGATCATCCAAAACAATGAATTCTAGTACCTTTTCTGTTATTTTCGCCGCTTTCGGGCTATTGTTTGGAAGTTTTTCGTGACGACTATAGGCTTCGGGCAGAGTCAGTTGTTTTTTCGACTCTTCGTCTTTTTTCTGTTTGGCTTGTCTGAACTCCTCATGTTCCTCCGTGTGATGATTTTTAAGGTGCTTGATTAAATTCGTTGTGTTGTACACCGCGACGCTACTTCCGCCTCTTGAAACTTTGATTTTACAAAGATTGCAAATCGCGGTGCTACTAGTTGTTGTTTCAAGCGTAAAATACTTCCAGATTGCAGACATGCTTGTTAGTTCGCTTTGCAAGCATGCAAGTCGCTTTTGCTATTGTCACCCTGATGTTCTGACGTCACAGCAGGCGGAAGTCACCGCGCTCACATCCACTGAGTGGCAGAAAAACCGAGCAGCAGCGTTAGTGTTCAGGTTGAATGCGCAAAAAAAAACATCTAATGGGAAAGAGCTGTCGTACGATTGATTGTACAAATCGATTTAACAAGAAATAGGAGCTATCTTTTCTCCAGACCGCCGAAAGCTCGATAAGTATCGGACGTGGATCGGTCACATGGCCGATACCCGGTCACATGTCCGATACCCGATCCGTCTAATTAGATATGGGTCGATGCCGATACCGATCCCGAATATAGGGTCGGTGCACCTCTAGTATTGACCTCAACTCTCTCTCTCTCTTCTTTTTTTGCCTATGCCATCTTGTTCTCCATGACACACATGGAGGTGAGATCAAGCTTGGGCTTCTAGGATTCACAGCACTACCACCATGCAATACCCCAGAAGATGGGGGTTAAGGGCCTGCCTCAAGGGTCCAACAGCAGAATCAGTGTGCCAGCCCTGGCAACCGTCCAATCACAGGCACAGGGTCCTAAGCAGTTGAGCCACACAGCTCCTTCCATCTTATCCCGCAGCCATTCCCCTCTGTTTGTATCTTCTCTTATTCACATTGGAAATATTATCTGCAAGATAGGTTGTAAGATATTTTGTGTTGTATGTCATGTGAGAGACAGTGGTGATGTAGGAGGTAGAGGGCTACATTGCATCAGACGGTCATCAGTCTGCTTGAGATACAAACCATTCAGCTGAAATTATTGATGGGTAATAATATCAAGGAGAAGTGATTCTGCGTTTGGGTCCTAAAATCATGCTTCTTTTTTTGCCTGGCCAGCAATGCAGGCCTAGAGCAGGATTTAAAGGTCTTAATCCAGGATATTCTCATGATAATTGTACTGTCCTAGTGCCCCACTGCTCTGCACCTTCGAACGTTTCACTCCCTGCCAACAGCCTTGATCTCCAAGTGGTAATTAGCTTTCTCCAATGTTCTTACATGGGCACTGCTGTACCTGTCAAGTTTTCATGATTCACAATATCAAATGCAGTCCATGATCAAAAAGATAGTCGCAACGGAGAGTTCTTGTTCATTCTTTAATCTCTATTTGATCGCCTATGAATGAATTTCCGCCTCATTTTCAGTAGAAAAATACAGTTACCAGATATATGTCACAACATAAACAGTATTGTAATATAGTGTTACAAGTGCCCTTTTTGGCTTTTATCAACAGTCACCAAAATCTCCCAAGGGCACCCCCTCCCCGATTATGAAAACTTATGGGTTGGCCACGCCCCCCCCCCCACCCCCTCCGGTTTGAGCACCTGTCGCTCGATAAGTCTGTGTACGTCACTGCATGACATCACACGTCATAAGAAGACTTCATTGTTACCTAATGTATTTGCAGAGACTCTCGCCAAAATGCCTTCGCACCACACATATCACTGTTATTTAAAACTGCCACATTCATATAGGCTCCCAGGCATGGTTGCCATAACAACGGTGATGTCGTTCTGTTTCGAGTTATTTTAAAGTTGGTTTCTCCTCATTTTCCAGTCCATCCGGTAGGACCGGCATTTCCCAGTCGGAGACGGGCACCCGTCCACATATCCGTGGATCATGGCAGACGACGCGGACATGCGCAACGAGCTGGCAGACATGCAGCAGCGGGCAGACCAGCTGGCCGATGAGGTGAGTGCCGCCGAGCCCCTGCGTTTGCACGTTACATCAAAGCGGGACAGGGAGCTTCATCGCTCACC